CTTTCCCTTCTTGGGAAAATGAACTCATCTGTAAAATGAAGGCTAAAATACATCATCCCAAAGATTATATATTGATAGAGCTGAGACGAGAACACAACTGTTTTGATTCCCAATCTGTTGATCTTCCCTCTCTTCTTTCTTGCCTATCTTGGGCTTTTGTGGTATACTAGAAATAGTTTAACCCTATCTGGGGCATTTAAAACTAAAAGCGTGCTAAAGAAATTAACTACTGATATATGTGACAAAATGAATAAAACATGACAAAAATGAAGTCAGACACAAATCAGTACAAACGGGTATTTCATTTATATATAGTACTAGATAGGTGAAACTGGTCTATGGCAATGAAAATGAGTAGTAGTTTTAGTTGTTTCCAGGGGAGAATAATTGAAAAAATATAAGGGAACTTTCTGGGTTAGTGAGAATGTTCTTTATCTTCATAGAAGTGTAGGTGTCATGGGTGGGTATATTTTTAAAACTCATCAAATACATCTGTTTTTCATTACATATGAATTACACCTTACTGAAAAGCATATTTTTTAAAAGTATGCCAGGGCCAGCCCCAGTACTGTCCCTTTTCAGTGAGTGCCCACATCCTATGACAAAATTGGAAAAAAAAAAAAATACATGCTGAAGACGTTAAGATGTGAAGGAAATCTGACATTTACCGAGCACTTACTAGCCCCTGATATATATAATCTCCATCTCAGATCTCTAGAAAGGGATTGCCCCCATTTTATAGATCAAAAAACTGAAATTCTATAAGGTTAAGATAACTTGGTTATGTCGCTGGACTCCTGAATAAACACTGTAGCTAGGAACAACCCAAGATTGTCTGCCCCTTTTCCTTATAATAGGTTGTCAGCCTGGAGCCAGGAGGTTTGTTTCACTTCACTGCCACATGGTCCTAAGAGTCCACTTTTCCTCTGGCCTCCCTCTAGAGTCAAATGAAGCCTATAATTGTTGTAAACATGGTTCTCGCAATCAGAATATCTCCCTTCCCTCTTACCAAGGCATTAAACGCAATTTCCAATTTTCTCAGGCAGACCAAGCAGGCGCACAAAATCCCTTTGACTCTGGCGAGAGGATAAATCATCAACTAGGTCAGTGACATGAGCTCCAAGGTGACACAGGCCAGCTGCCTTCTGTTCAAGAGATGTCTGACTCATCCCTGAGAGGTGTGATGGGAAGAGATGGAGTAGGAATCAAGAGACCTGAGTCCTGCTGCCGCTCTGCCAAGATGCTCTGTGGCCTTGCCTTCTCTGACCCCCTAGCCTACACTCCCTAAAAGATCATTGGCTGGGCCGATCAAGCCTTCAGACCCAATATCTTGTCGATTTATGAAATCCTGAGCCCTACTTCCACATATTGTTTATAAGAAAAACTGGGCAGCTGGAAAAGACTTGTTTTCTAAGTCCCTAAATGGGGTGACATTGCCTTTTGGACGGGGGTAATACATAGGGGGTGTGTCTGGGTGTGTTTGTTCACCTGTTTAGCTTTGCGTCAGTATTCGTCCCCAGCTTTCCACTCACCCAGTAGCTGCTACTCTTTTAGCTTCCCTAAAGGAGACTTGGCAATGTGCAATTCTACAACCAAAATATTAGTCCTCACCTGGAAATTTCTCCTCACAATCCCAATGGGGTTCACTTGCAAGTCCTGGCCCATGGAGCCTTCTATTTAAATTAAGAGAACATTCTAGTTAAAGGTGCCTGCTGCTATCCTGACAGCCCTTCCATAGTGTTACACCTTGGGAGAAACCTGATTTTCCCCTTGTTCCCTTTGGAGACCAAGCAAAAAATTAAAAGTAACTACAAGACTGAAGCTGCAGAGTTTGAGAAAAGTACATGCCATGCTGAGAATGCCCTGAACCCCCACAGACCTCTATGTGGGAGTACACTGGGAAGCAGAGGGCCACAGGGGAAACGGCTCTGCCACTTTTGAGCTATATGATCCTAGAAAGTCACTTCATCTTTCCAAAACTGTTTCTTCATCTGTAAAGTTGGGATAATACCACCAACCTCAAGGATAAGCCATATGGAGCCAGCAGGTGGTGTGGTGTTAAAGCACTAGACTCCCACATGGCCAACCATGGTTCAAGTCCCGGCCCTGGAGACTTGCTTTCTCACTTACCTCTCTCTCTAGTTAAATTTAAATAAGAATAATAAATAAATTTTAAAAAGATAATTCATATAAAGAACATAGCACTGGAAAAGCCCAATAAATGTGAGATACAAACATACATGCACACATTCAGATATTCACATGCACTCACACACAGATCTACTCACATGCACCACACACACAAACCCTGAAAGACTGGAGTGGGGACTAGTTCATGTGTACCAAGCACAGAGTCTAATTCAATAACTGATATTATGGACAAAAGTATGAAGGCAGGAATACCAAGAATAGGAAGACCATTAGAGGTTACCAAGACTAGAAGTTCACAAAGAGGTAACCCTGGACCAATAGCGTCAGCGTCACTTGGGAACTCGTAAGAAATGCAAGTTCTAGGGGCCAGCAGGTGGTGTGGTGGTTAAGGGCACTGGACTCCCACATGGCCGACCAAGTTATGAGTCCTGAACCTGATGGCTTGCTTTCTCACTTTCCCTTTCTCTTTTTTCGTGCTCTGTCCTTCTCCAGTCAAAGTAAAATAAAGTTAAATAAAATAATTTTTTTTTTTTAAAGAAAGAGGACCAGCAGGTGGTGTGGTGGTTAGGGGGCTAGACACTCCCACGTGGCCAACCATGGTTTAAGTCCCAGACCTGGAGGCTTGCTTTTTCTCTCTCATGCTCACTCTCTGGTCAAATTAAAACAAATCAATAAATAAACTTAAAATAAAACATAAAATAATTCTTTAAAATAAATGGATATGGGACCAGCAGTTGGCATTATGGCTGTCACTGGACTCTCATGTGGTTGACCACGGTTCGAGTCCCAGACCCAATGGCTTAAACTCACGCCGAGTCCCAGACTGAGGCTTGCTTTCTCGCTTTCCTTCTCTCTCTTGTCTCTGTATGGTGAGTGCACATGCTCTGTAGCAAATTAATAATAATTATAAGTAAAAATAAATAATTCTTTAAAAAATTAATAAATGGATACATAAAATTAAATGAATAATTCCTAAAAAAAAAAAAAAAGAAAAGAAAGAAATGCAAACTCTAGACTCACTCTCAGAAAACTTGAGAGTGGAATCCAGCAATTCCTGTTGGGAAACCCCCTCCTGATGTATGCTAAAGTTTGAGGACCAAGGACTTAGATAAGGATCTGACAAACTTTTTTTGTTTGTTTTGCTGTAGGGCATGTGAGCTTGCAGGAGACAGAGGAAAGGGAAAGTGAGAAAGCACCACCAGGGGGGATAACCACACAGAAATCCCTTCTCCATTCTCCTCTAGGGATTTTGGGTACATGCCCCTCATTTTTGTTTGTTTGTTTGTATTTTTAAGAGAGATTTTTGCTATAGGGTGTGTGCACTCATCGGAAAGACAGAGAGAGCTAGACAGAAAGCAAGAAATCACACACACACACCCCCCCCCCCAGAGGGGATGGCCACACCACAATCCCTTCTCCACTCTCCTCTCAGGATCTTGGGCACACATGCACACGCAACCAGTGTGAGTTTAAGCTACCAGGTCCAGGACTCGAACCACAGTTGACTACGTGGGAGTCTAGTAATGTAACCATTATCCCATTTGCTGGTCCCCCCTCCCTCACATGTTTTTCAAGCCACGGGGTCTGGGACTTGAACCACACAGTCAGCCATGTGGGATCCAGTGCTTTAACCTCTATGCCATCTGCTGGTCCAACAAACTGTTTCTATAAAGGGATGGACAGTAAATGTTTTATCTTTATGGACTGTTACCACTACTCTATTACCACTTATAACATTAACGCAGCCAGAGTTAATATGTACATGAATGAGCAAGGAGCTGTTCCAATAAAGCTTTATTTATGAAAACAGGGAATGGAGTTTGGAATGAGATAAATGTGGTGGTTGCACAACACTGTGAATGTACTAAATGCCACTGAATTGTTCATTTCAAAATGGTTAATTTGGGGGCCAGCAGGTAGCGTGGTGGTTAAGGCACTGGGCTTCCCACATGGCTGACTGTATAGTTCAAGTCCCAGATCTGGCCTTGTTCATTTTCCCTCTCTCTTTCTCACTCTACTTTCCCCCTGGTTAAATTAAAAATAAAAATAATAATAATAATGAATAAAATTAAATTTAAAAATTCTTTAAAACAGTAAAATGGTTCATTTTAGGCTGGTCCCATGGCCTAGTGATTGAAGGAAACAAATCTCACATGGCCAACTGCATGGTTCAAATCCTGGTCCCAAAGGCTTGAAAAACACACAGGGGGCCAGCAGGTGGCATAGTGGTTAAGGTGCTGGACTCCTGCATGTCCGACTACTGTTCAAGTCACACACCCAGCAACTTGCTTTCTCACTCCCCCGCCGTCTTTCTCTGGTGACTGCGTGTTAGCAAATTAAAGAATAATAACAACAAATAAAATTTTAAATTAAAAACAAAAAAACCACACAGGGTGTATCTACGTGCCCCAAATCCCAACAGGACAGAGAAATGGAGAAGGGATTGCATGCAAAGTGACCACACAACATCGGGGAGGGCTTTCTCCCTTCTCTTCCTGTCTCTCTGGCACATGCACATATCCTTTGACAAAAGAAAAAGAAAAAGTTAATTGGGGCCAGCAGGTAGTGTAGTGGTTACATCGCTGGATTCCCGTATGGTCAACGCAATTTGAGTCCCAGATACGGTAGCTTGAAACTCACGCATGATGTGTGTGCGTGCATACCTCAAATTCCGAGACGAGAATGGAGAAGGGTCTGTGGCATGGCCATTCCCCCCCCCAAGGCGGGTGATTTCTCACTTTCTGTCTCTTTGGTGATCCCACGGCCCCGTGGCAAAAATCTCTCTAAAAAACAAAGTTAATTTTGGAAACCAGCAGTTAGCGTAATGGCTATGTCCCTGGACCCCCACGTAGTCGACCACGGTTCATGTCCCGGACCCGGTGGCTTAAAAGTCACGCTGGGCACGTGTGCGTGTGTGCCCAAGATCCTGAGAGGAGAATGGAGGAGAAGGGATTGCGGCATGACCATCCCCCCTGGGGGGTGATTTCTTTCTATCTCTATGTCTCTGTCTGTCTGGCGAGCGCACGCACCCTATAGCGAAAACCTCTCCAAAAAAAAAAAAAACACAAAAGTTAATTTTGTGGTATGTGAATTTCACTTCAATAAATTATTTAAAAAACAATCGACCAAATAGGCAATGGATAGGATTTGGCTGACGGATAATAGTTTGCTGATCCTTGACCAAAATCAACATTCGATTTTTTGCTTAAAGTCATTCCAGGCACACTTAATTAGTAATTATATAGCCTCTACCTGAACACTTAAAGAGTCGCTCACTATGCTCCAAAACAACTTATGACACTGATGAACAGACCCCAATTTTATCTGGAGAGTTTTTTCATGTACAAAACCTAATCTCCCTATTATTTCCACCTATAGTTTACTTAGGCTTCACTGCAGGACTGCATGCCAGACTGTTTTACAGGGGGAGTTCACTCTGATTGGACGAACACCAACAGTGGAACGTATTTCTGTGCTACAGCAGCAGGTAAAGAGAAAACAAATGCCTTAATTATTGATACTCCACAGGATAAGCTGACACGTGTGTGCTCTCTCTGTCTCCCACTCACACACACACACACAATCAGCAGCAGCAGATTTTTTTTTTTCTTTTTGGAGAGGTTTTTGCTATGCGATGTGTGTGCTCGCCAGAAAGAGAGAAACAGAGAGACAGAAAGAGAGAAACAGAGAGACAGAAAGAGAGAAATCACCTCCCAGGGGGGATGGCCATGCTGCAATCCCTTCTCCTCCATTCTCCTCTCAGGATCTTGGGCACGCGTGCATGCACATGTACCCGACATGAGTTTAAGCCACTGGGTCAGGACTCAAACTGCTGTAGACTACATGGGAGTCCAGTGACATAGCTATTACATCAACTGCTGGTCCCTCAGCACAGATTTTATTAGATGGAAGATAACAAGGGTTAGCTCAAAGGTAAGTGGGTGACAACTGGCAAGCACACTTGTGCCAGAGAAGGGGAGGCGCTGCTGGCTGTGGGAACAGGTACTTGTGAAGCTAAGGGTCAGAGTCTCCTGCTTAACTCTGATCACCCAGGAATCTTCTCACTGGTGTTCAGTATCACAGTGTGGGCATGAAAGAGTCTGCAAGAGCTAGTTCAACTTGGCTAATAGTTCTTCCAGTTCTGGCCGAGCTTTGAACCTTCCCTTGAAGTCTTCTTCAGTGTGCTAGAGAGAAGAAAAATAAGTGGAAATTACTACAGAGTTTTAGTTATGCACAGCATCCAAAAAGGATCCATCAATTAGCTCTGTAGAAAATTATTCAGATTAACAAATTTTTATTGAGTATCTACTATGTGCCAGACTTGTATCAGGTACCAAGGATTCAAAGTTAACCAGACTTATTCCTTGCTTTCAAGGAACTTACAGTCTAGTGAGAAAAAAAGACATTTAAAGAAATAATGTCAAAACAATATGACTATCATAATAGTGCCATTTACAAAACAGAGAGAGGGGACCAGCAGATGACGTAATGGTTATGTCACTGGATTCCCATGTAGTGGACCGTGGTTTGAATCCTGGACCCGGCAACCTAAAATTCACACTGGTTACATGTGCATGTGTGCACAAAATCCTGGAGGAAAATGGAGGAGACGCGATTGAAGCGATTGCAGTGTGTCCATCCCCTCAGGAGGTGATTTCTTGCTTTCTCTCTCTCTGCTCCTCTCTGTCTCTCTGGTGAGTGCATGTGCCCTATAAAAAAAAAAAAAAAAAAAGACAACTCTTAAAAAAAAAAACAACAGAGAATGTCAGAATCGTTCATTTACCATAGGAAATTACACTAGTAATTAGACAGTTAAACTAGTAACTGGTAGGGATTGGAATATTGTAAATTAGTGTGATCAGTACATTCTCCCATTGTACAGTGATCTATGTGAAACCCAAAAAACAATCAAAAGGATCTTAACAAATGAGGACGCAGAACAAGAGTATCTGGGTAAAGAACATGTCACCATGGGGCCGACAGGTGGCGTGGTAGTTAAGCACATTGGACTCCCACATGGTCAACCATGGTTCAAGTCCCAGACCTGGCAGCTTGCTTTCTCACTTTCCCTCTCTCTTTCTCTCGCTCTGTCCTTCTCTGGTCAAATCAAAATAAATAAATAAATAAAGTTAAATAAAATAATTATTTAAAAAAAAAAGAAAGAAAATGTCACCAGCCTAAGATGACCTGGATCTTGTCAAAAGAAGGATTATCTTTTTGGTTTTTTTTTTTTGAGAAGTTTTTGCTACAGGGCGTGTGCGCTCACCAGAAAGACAGAGAGAGACAGAAAATGAGAAATGACCCCCCATGGGGGATGGCCACGCCGCAATCCCTTCTCCTTTCTCCTCTCGGGATCTTGGGCACGCACACTCATGTACCCGGCATGAGTTTAAGCCACCAGGTCCAGGACTTGAACCATAGTCGACTACATGGGAGTCCAGTGACATAGCTATTACTCTAACTGCTGGTCCCAAGAAGGATTATCTTGGCAATTAGACCTGAGTATTGAGAACAAGGATGAAGAGGGTAGTAGTGGTAGAGGGGGAAGTGTATCAAAAGTTCATGGAAAATGGAATTCAGGAGTTGGCTCAATGGACCAATGGTAATGTACCGTTCAAGAAAAGCTGGGTCCCATGTGGTGACTACAGTTCAAATCTCCAGCCAGGTCCAGCTGAAACATGCTCCGCACGTGTGTGAATATCCAAGAATGAAAGGAGATCATGGTGTGACCATACTTTGTGGAAGGTGCATCTCTTTGTTTCTCTCTCTCTTTCTCTCTCTTTTTAATAATTATTCATTTATTGCCATTCTTTTTCAATTTTGAACAAAGAGAGAGAGAGACAGCAAGCCATTAGGTCCAGTATTAGAACCGTGGTCGGTCATGTGGAAGAGTGCAGCGCCTTTAACTACCATGCCACCTGCTGGCCCCCTTTCTCTCTCTTATTCTGTCTTGTGCATCTTATTCTGTCTTGTGCACATGTATGCCCTCTATCATAAATAAAGGGGAAAATTTTTTTAAAGGAATTAAAATATGTTTTTATTTGCTGCAAAAAATGGTTTAAGTCCATGTATAGTTTTTTTTTTTTTTTAATGATAAGCATTTTTAAATGAACTTTTTGAAGACCCCCCCCCCCTTGTATTTAGGGAAGATTCATAATGTTTTGTTAGTTTTCTATGCCTGACCAAATATACTTCTGACTGGCTATTTTTAATCACCAGAGGGCATTGTGTGCTTATGAGAGACAAACAGAGAGAGAAAGGGAGAAAGAACCCTCTAATGGGAAATGGTCACACCACAATCCCTTTTTCTCTATCCTGTCGGGATCTGGGGCACACATTCACACATGCCTTGTGTGTTTTTCAAGCCAATGGGCCTGGGATTCAAACCTCATTTGATTATGTGGGATCCAGCTCCTTTAAACACTAGGCTTTGAGGCTGGCCCCTGACTGGCAGTCTTTACTGAAAATATTCAGTCGGGCTACCGTCAAGATGGGGAGTTCCGGGAAACTTCTGTCTGAAGTACACTTTTCTGTTTACTGGGTTATCAGAAAGTCATGACTTTTCCAACAACCCAATGTGTTCTGAATGATTACACTGTCCTTAATCTTAAGCCATGTCCTTACTGGTACACACTGCCTGGAAGGAGAGAATGTGGGGTGCCATGGGCTCACTCCTAACACCGCAGTATGCTGAGATGGAGGTCAGTACCTGTGGTCCAAGTGGCATCATTGCTGATGCTTCAGAAGAGCCGATTAACTATCACGATCCCGCCTAACTGCATTGCTTTCCTGATTACTTTCTGGACTAAACTTTCCACATTTCTCTTTGTTCCTAAAGCCAGCTAATCCAGATGTTATCCTTATTTTGAGCACAGGTAGGCTAGGAGGGAGCCTCTTCACAAACCAGCACTTACCTCTCTTACTGACAATCTGACTCCTTCAGGAAGATTGCTTTGGATTACTTCCAAGAAAATCTCTGCAAATGTAGCACTCAAACCGCTGATCTGCAAAATGAAAGAAGACACTCCTAAGGGAGGGTACTAAAAGCCAGATGATTGGACAGACATGGCTTGGGCTCAAATGCTAGATCCTACAGAGCTGGAGAACCCCAAGGTAAAGGATTAACACCCAGCATGGCTTCTATTGGTGTCTCTGCCAAGGTGTGTGCTTGCTAAGATGGTCAGTGTCAATATCTACTCCTGTAGGGAATGGACTTCATAACTGGAGAAGTCCAGTCTGACTTTGTGATTCAGCTCGGGTTTATCCTCCTAGACTGACTGCTGTGGGACCCTGTGCTGGATTTCTAGTACACAGAGGGCTGCAAGGACCAAAAAGATAAATACCAACCCAACTCAATCAGAGAAGGTCAAAGAAACCTTGCAGAAGAGGTAACATCTGGTGAAGTCTTGAAAAAAATGGAAGTAAACTGGGAGAAGGGTTTGAAGGGTTTTTAAAGCAAAAGAAACAGCATTCAGTAAAATGTGGAGGCTAACACTCTTAGGGAGTTAAAGCTGGCTCCAGGTATGGCTGCAGTGAATGGCTATGAAGAAGAAAATCAGGGGATCCGGCTGGAGCTTGAAGTGTGCAGGGCCAGAGATGCCGCAGACCCGCGACCCGGAGCAGCTCAGAGCAGTGCATTCTTCAAGTCTGCAATAAAAGATGGCCTCCAATAAAACTACGTTGCAAAAAATGTGAAAGAAACAGAATGGAAAGAGTCAAAAAGTTGAAGAGGCAGAGCCTGAAGAAATTGTGGTGGAAAAAGTACTGGACCGACGCTTAGTGAATGAGAAGGTGGAATATTTCCTAAAGTGGAAGGGATTTACAGATGCTGACAATACTTGGGAACCAGAAGAAAATTTAGATTGTCCAGAGTTAATTGAAGCATTTCTTTTTTTTTTTCTTTTTTTTGGAGAGGTTTTTGCTATAGGGCGCGTGCGCTCTCCACACAGAGAGAGACAGAGAGACAGAAAGTGAGAAATTACCCCCCCGGGGGGGATGGCCACGCCGGAATTCCTTCTCCTCCATTCTCCTCTTGGGATCTTGGGCACGCACGCACACACACGTGGCATGAGTTTAAGCCACCAGGTCCAGGACTCAAACTGCGGTCGACTACGTGGGAGTCCAGCGACATAGCCATTACGCTAACTGCTGGTCCCACTGAAGCATTTCTTAATTCTCAAAAAGCTGGTAAAGAGAAAGAAGGTACAAAGAGAAAATCTTTATCTGACAGTGAATCTGATGATAGCAAATCAAAGAAGAAGAGAGATGCTGCTGATAAACCAAGAGGCTTTGCCAGAGGTCTTGATCCTGCATGAATAATTGGTGCCACAGACAGCAGTGGAGAGTTGATGTTTCTCATGAAACGGAAAGAGTCAGATGAGGCAGACTTGGTCCTGGCAAAAGAAGCAAATATGAAGTGTCCTCAAATTGTAATTGCTTTTTATGAAGAGAGACTAACTTGGCATTCTTGTCCAGAAGATGAAGCTCAATAATCGTTTGCATTGTTTGTGTGTGTGTGTGTGTGTATATCTATATCTATATACACATGTAAAATCTGGGTCTTGGATTTTGATTTACTAGTGTTGGAGAAATAACTGCATTCTAATGGAAAAATCAAGTTTGATATGTTTGTTTTGAAAGTAGTATTGGGGAGTTGGGGAAGAGGGTTGCATCCCAATGGCACTGGTTACTTTGAACAAATAAAAGCTTTCTGTAGTTGCTTCCTTATTGAACAAAAACATTTCATACCATGGTATTTTATCCTCTGCATTAGAGAACAGGTTTTCTAAATGTTGGGGAAATGTTTCATTGTCATGAACTTGTGTTTAACTCACATGCCTCAGTACCAGTCTGGGATTTTTGTTTTCTGTCTTTGTGTGTGTGTATACATAAGATAATACGTAAATTGCTTTCTGTTTTTGAAACCTGCACCAAAACCAAAACTGTGTATAAGCTCATATGTCTGAGATACTGTCATGCTGAGCAACCTCAAAATAAGAAATAAGTTCCTCCAAATTAAATGGAAAGTTTTCCTGAAGCCATAACCTTTCATATCAAATAATGATTCTGTAATTGGATGATCTAAATTGGATTACTTAAAAGCAACCATATCAGCATTTTTATCTATCTATAGTCATGTAAATTCAATAGTTTATTTGCAGAATTCCTGAAAGGAGAAATTGTACCTTTACCAGCAAGCTCTCCTCCCAGATGACAAAAAAACAGACAAATCCCAGTGTTTAGCTAAGAAAGACTTAAAGTTAAGTGGGCATTTTAATCCTCTAGTAAACTTTTCCTTTACAGAAAGTTGAAATCCTTATGCTCTATTGACTAAAAGGTTATTACTCATGAAATGTCTAAGATTTGGCTCATGGAAACTTAATCAGACGGTTAAAGATGTTAGCAGTTTAGGACTTGCTGGCATAAATGAGTGAACAAATTTGTGATCTAAACTATTGTGCATGTTTCTCTTCTTAACCCCAATTCATTCCCCTTTTTTGGAGAGGTTTCTGCCATAGGGCGCGTGCGCTCGCCAGACAGAAAGCAAGAAATCACCCCACCCCGGGTGGGGGGGTGGCCACACCGCAATCCCTTCTTCTCCATTCTCCTCTTGGGATCTTGGGCATGCACGCACACGTGCCCGGCATGAGTTTTAAGCCACCGAGTCTGGGATTCAAACCGCGGTCGACTACAGGGGAGTCCAGCGACATAGCCATTACGCTAACTGCTGGTCTCAACCCCAATTCATTCCTTACGTGTAGGCCTCAACCTTTCTAGTATTTGGGTTACTGATTCAGCAGAAGCAAGGAAAACCAATAATTCTGTAGTAATCAGAATGTTACCCAACTGTATATTGTTCACTTTATTGTAAATACTGGTGAACAGTGGTCAATAAATAGTTTTATATTCCTTTAAAATAAAAGAAGAAAATCAGGAGGAGATCATGACGGCTCCTGAGTGCTAATCTAAAGAGCTCAAATTTTAACCTATGCACCTCAGCAGCAAGTCAGATCTGTCCTAAGGTGTATTGCAAATAAGCTATTCCTGGTGATATTTAAAGAACCAGAGATTGTTAAGTACTTCCGTTACTTTTAAAAACCCTATATTTAGATTTAAGGTGTTTCTTCCTTAGCATTCCTCTGTGACCTTGCTGATATGATTTTGAGTGGATCTGAAAGGAGTGGTGCTCACACAATGTAGTCTTGCCAATAAAAGAGAATGAAGTGCCGATTCACGCTACATGGATGAACCTTGAAAACATGCTAATGAAAGAAGTCAGACACAAAAAGCCATATGTTATATAATTCCATTTAAATGGAATGCCCAGAAGAGGTAAATTCACAGAGAGCAGACTACTGGTTGCAAGAGGCTGGGGTAGAGGTCAAGAAAGAGGAGTGACTGTTAATGAGTATGAAGCTTCATTTTTGGGCGATGAAATGTTCTATTACTGATTGTGGTGATGGTTGCATAACTCTTTCAATATACCAAAAACCATTTAATGGTATATTTTTAAAGGGGCAAATTGTATGATATATCCACTGTATCTTTTTTTTTTTAGTCACCATGACTTTTTTAAAACTCTGTTTTGGTTTTTTTAAGAATTATTTTATTTTATTTTACTGATTTATTCTTCTTTTTCAATTTGACCAGAGAGAGAGAGAGAAATTGAGAAATCACCCCTCTGAGGAGATTGGCCATACCACAACCAGTCTCCTCCAGTCTCCTCTTAAGATTTTGAGCATGCATACCCTGGTGTGATTTTCTTTTCTTTCTTTTTTTGAGAGTTTTTGCTATATTGCTATAGGGCATGTACACTGGCCAGAAAGACAGAGAGAGACAGAGTCAGAAAGTGAGAAATCAACGCCCAGGGGGGATAGCCAAGCTGCAATCCCTTCTCCTCCATTTTCCTCTCAGGATCTTGGGAACACATGCACAAGTGCCCGGCGTGAGTTTAAGCCACCAGGTCTGGGACTCAAACCACAGTTGACTACATGGGAGTCCAGTGACATAGCCATTAAGTCAACTGCTAGTCCAGCCTGGTGTGATTTTCAAGCTGCCAGATCTGGGACTCAAAACACAAAGCTGGCTATGTAGAATCCAGTGTCTTAACTTCTATGCCACCTACTGACCTGAGCTATGAATTTCTTTTTAAAACATTTATTTATTTACAAAAAAAAAACATTTATTTATTTACTTATTTATCTATTTATTTGTTGTGATTTTTAAGCTGTTGGGTCCAAGACTCTAACTGTGGTCAGCCAAGTGGGAATCTAGCACCTTAACCACCACCCCAGCTGCTGGCCCTGAGCTATGAATTTTTAATAACTCTGGGTACTGTCTTGATGGTGTGATTGTCACCTATCTGTCCCTGTAAGAAAAAAATAGAAAACAATGGGACCAGCAGATGGAGTAATGGTTATGTCGCTGGGCTCCATGTAGTTGACTGCAGTTTGAATCCCAGACCCAGTGGCTTAAAACTCATGCTGGGCACGTGTGCATGCATGCCCAAAATCCCAAGAGGAGAATGGAGAAGAAGGGATTGCAGTGTGGACATCCCCCCTGGGGGATCATTTCTCACTTTCTGTCTCTCTGTCTTTCTCTGTCTCTCTGGCGAGTGCATGCACCCTATAGCAAAATTTTCTCTCTTAAGAAAGAAAAAAAAATAGGGGCTGGCAAGTGGCATGGTGGTTAAGGGCGTTGTACTCCCACATGGCTGACCACGGTTCAAGTCCTTGAACTTGCTTTCTCACTTTCTCTCTCTCTCTCTCTCTCTCACTCTGTCCCTCTCTGGTCAAATTTTAAAAGAAATGAATAAATAAAGTTAAATAAAATCATTCTTAAAAAAAAAAAAAAGAAAAAGAACAATTGCTAGAACTAAATAGAAACCACTGGCCCACCTACTGTGGCACAGTCGTAACTCAAAAGCCCTGAAAGACTGGAAGCCATATGACTGACCACAGGTTTAGATTCCCAGGCTGAAAACATGGTGGGCACATGCATAAGCACCCAGGATCCTGAGGTGCCAGGAGGCTGGGATAAGAGGATTGTGGTGTGGTAAGACCCTGTCAAGGATGCTTCTTGCTCTTTCTCCCATGCACTTGCTCCATTGCACTTATAAAAATCCACTAAAGAGTTTTAAACAGGAAAATAGCATGATTACATTGTTATGGAGGTAAAGTGAAACAGAGATCTGAAAAGTTTTTAGAAGATAGCAGCTATAGAATTTGATGAATGAATGGTATCAAGAGGAAAGAAGGACCAAACATTGGACTCAAAGGTGAGAGGAAAAGAAAAAGGAGAATCAGGGGCCCACCAGATGGCATAATGGCTACATCTCTGGACTCTCATGTAGTCGACTGTGATTCAAGTCCTGGACCCAGTGGCTTAAATTCATGCTGGGCTTGTGTGCGTGTGTGCCCAAGATTCTGAGAAGAGAATAGAGAAGCAGGGATTGCAGTGTGGCCATCCCCCTGGGGGAGTGATTTCTCACTTTCTGTCTGTCTCTCTCTGTCTTTCTGGCAAGCGCACACGCCCTATAGCAAAAAACCTCTCCAAAAATAAATAATGAAAATCAAAATAAAAAGGAAAATCAGTCCCTCTACAATTAGTTTTGCTACACTTAGTATAAAAACAACACCTGTGGGGAAGTCTAGTACACAACTACCAGGTTTGGAACTCAGCCAATAGATTAGGAGTGTGTGTGTGTGTGAGACCAGTATATAATGACAGTCACTGAGGCCAGGGGAATTAATAAGATTGCATAGGGGCAACATATTATGAAGAAGAAATAGAGGGATCAAGAACGGGACCCCAGACGGGAGCCAGCAGTTAGTGTAATGGCTATGTTGCTGGATTCTCACGTAGTCGACCGCGGTTTGCGTCCTGGTCCCGGCTTAGAACTCACGCCGGGAGCGTGTGTGTGCGTGCCCAAGATCCCAAGAGGAGAATGGAGGAGAAGGGATTGTGACGTGACCATCCCCCCTGGGGGGTGATTTCTCGCTTTCTGTCTCTATGTCTCTCTCTGTCTGGCGAGCACATGCACCCTATAGCAAAAACCACTAAAAAAAAAAAAAAAAAAAGAACGGGACCCCAGAGGACACCACCATTCAAGCACAGGCACACGGAAAAAAAGAGCCTAACAGGATTAAAACAAAACAAAACAAAGACAAGAACCAAAAGAGGTCAATACATTTTGGTTCTCCGAGAGTGCCTACCTGCACCACTCGCTCATGGGTGGTAAGGACGGAGTCCAGGAACATTTTGCTGCCTTGGTCCTGCAGTCGCATCACCTCCATGGTTTTGGTAGGCATGGCGTAACTGTGGAAGGAAGAGTAGCTATGAGGGACTCTTGAACCAGCAGCACCACTTCAGTCAGTGCAGTCCATGAATAGAGACCCCACTGCATACAGTAGCTGATGCTTATCTGCAGCCAGGAGGAGCAAAGTAACCAG